TTAACTCAACCCTCTTTCCCACGCAAACCGGACTACCACGGCCAAGTGACAAAGAGAATTAGATCCCTCTGAGGTATTTGGTCTTGTTTTCCTTAGGCCACAGCGTCACTTTTTGATGCCCTGGGAACGAGGCGAGGGCACCTGCTTCTTTTCTAAAGACGCTGCTGTGAGCCCCCACGCAGATGGCAGGGCCAGGTGTTTTGTGGTTGTTAGGGGCTGCTTGTTCTTGGATATGGTTCGCTAAAAGCTGGACGGGAGGGGGCCGCTGACAGTGCCTTAGCATAGGGCAGCCACTCAGAGAACAGAATGCACAGGTGTTGGTAGACCAGGCTCGCGCAGGTTAGTGGAGGAAGCAGTGAAAATACACCTGCTCTCTCAGGCTGTGCCACAAAAATCACGGCGCAATCTTGAGGCTGGAGCTTTGTAAAAAGATTGGGATACGTTTAAGATGAAGACATAAAAGGGGGCGCATGGGTGTCTTAGTTAAGCCTCCGAGTTGGGCTCAGGTCATGATCTCACGGTTTGCGGGTTCGAGCCCCACATTGGGCTCTGTGCTGTCAGCTCAGAGACTGCTTGGGATTCTCTTTCACCTTCTCTCCCTGCCCCTGCCTCACTTTTGCTTTCTCTTTCAAAACAAACGAACAAACTTAAAAAAAAAAAAAAAGAAAAAGAAGAAGAAGAGGGGCACCTGGGTGGCTCAGTCGGTTAAGCATTTGACTCTTGGTTTCAGCTCAGGGCAAGATCTCGCGGTTTGTGAGTTCAAGCCCCACGTGGGGCTGGCTGCTGTCAGCACAGAGCCTGCTTCGGATCCTCTGTCTCCCTCCCTCTCTGCCCCTCCCCAACTTGTGCCCTCTCAAAAATTAGTGAGCATTAAAAAAAAGATGAAGACATGTAGGAAAAGGTAAGAAGTGCAATAATTAGTAATAGAAAAGGAGCATAAAAAGATGCAGTGAATACATGTATACAACAGGATAGTCGTGCTTCGCTCTGGTAGTAAGAGTGTGATTTAAAAAAATTTTTTTTTAACGTTTATTTATTTTTGAGACAGAGAGAGACAGAGCATGAACGGGGGAGGGTCAGAGAGAGGGAGACACGGAATCTGAAACAGGCTCCAGGCTCTGAGCAGTCAGCACAGGGCCCGATGTGGGGCTCGAACTCATGGAGTGTGAGATCGTGACCTGAGCCGAAGTGGGCCGCTTAACCGACTGAGCCACCCAAGCGCCCCAGTAAGAGTGTGATTTTAAAAGGAGTCCTTTTAATGTTTATTTATTTTTGACACAGAGACAGAGCATGAACGGGGGAGGGGCAGGGAGAGAGGGAAACACAGAATCCAAAGCAGGCTCCAGGCTCTGAGCTGTCAGCACAGAGCCCAACACAGGGCTCGAACTCACAAACCTCGAGATCATGACCTGAGCTGAAGTCGGACACTCAACCTACTGAGCCACCCAGGAGCCCCTTAAAAGGAGTCCTTTTAAATGACCAACAAATGTTCATTGAACACCTGCCATGTGCATGTCCTTCCTCACTGTTATGCCTGCGGTAGCAATCTGGCTGGAAAAATTACTGAATTATTAGCGATCGGGTTGCAGGCCCTGCTGGGAGAGGGCAGTGAACCAGAGGCGGTGGTACAGAGGTCCCCAGCTTCCATTTTGGTTCTGAGGCCTGTGAATTTTCAGGGAAGAGAACCCAGTCAGGGAGCATAGCAATCTTGCGAGACTTAGAGGGTTTGTAGCAAGCATGACGGACTCTACAAGTCATGTAGGGGAGTGTAGGAAACGTCCATTTCTTCATTTTCTTCAAATTAAAATTAACCACTTATTAAATTAAATTAATTGATTAAACTTTAATTAAAATTAGAATTAAAATTAAAGCAGGCTCTGAACCACCCCCCCCCCCCGCCCCGTCTCCTCTCCATCTGGAAAGAAATTTATTCCGAGCTATCATTGGTGCGTTCTTTGTGGCCTCCAGTACCAGCGCAGACACCATCAGAGGCTGAGAAACAAGCCAGGAGACCTTACTGGTGCCCAGGAAAGAGGCCAGGCCCCTGGTCTTCGCTTTCCGAGCTCCCTGCCCACACACCCCGATGCTCCGGGTCTGCGCGCGCACTGGAGGCTTTGCAGGCGCACAGACGTCTGCAGGACGCTGGCTGATTGCAGAGCCCCAGCCCTGGGTCTGCTTCCAGAAAGCACCGTTGAACACCGAGTCCCTCTGGGCTTTGAGGCTGTCACTGCTATGGCCTGAGCGGCCATGTGGCCTTGCCCGTGGCCTCCTCAGAAGCCAAACAAAAGATGTACCCATCCTGCGATGTTGCCTTGAGCATCAGGCGAGTCAGTGCGTACACAGCCCCCAGCACAATGAGGGACCCCTGAGCCCTCACTGTTAGTGGTTACATTCCATCTCGTTTCACCCATGCGAACGCGGACCCTCCCTCGCAGCGCACTTGCAGCGTGTTCCTGTAACCAACAGGGTCTCCCTCCCACAACTGCCACGAGAGGGGAGAAAGGAAGAAGGTGTGGGTTTGGACCTTTGCCTGTCTGGGCTGCTGATCATCCCAGGGGAAGGGAATGTTCTAGTTGTGATGATGCTCCTGATAGCAGGATTTGGGGAATCTGGTGGGAAGGGCAAGTGGGCTGTGCTCTTAGCAGATGCAGGTCGTCACCATCAGAGATGAACATTTTGCCGGTGGAAAGAGCACTGGAGCCGGAGTCTTCCCCAGCAATCCAGCGGCTTCAGCTCTCAACTCTCTAAGTGCCATTTCCTCAGGGATGTCCTCTCTGCTCCCTGGTCTCAATTAGCTCCTCCCTGTCCTTCTTTCTTGGACTCTCTTGTTCTTTGTTACTAGCCTTTACTCAGTTTTTAGTTATGGATACTTTGTGTGTGTGTTTGGCGACTTCTCTCCCAGTAGATTATATATAGCTCTAGAGGGCAGGGATTAAGTGTGTTTTATTGACCAAGTACAATCACTTAACTTCAAGTTTTTACTATGTCAAATGAGGAAGGTTAATACTGCTTTTGCCTACCTCACTGAGCTGTGAAATTAATAAAGATAATAATGCGAAACTTCCTTGTAAATCATAAAACATGATGCAAATATTAGCTCTGCTCAGCGCCATGTCCGTTTGAATGCACATCCCAAGCTTGTGCATCGGGCTCCTGGACGGATGAGCATTTTGTTAGATGAGATAATAAAGGAAAGTGCTCAGTACAGGATGCACCCCACGGTAGCTCTTATTGTTGGAAGTCGAAGAGGACAGCCCCAACCTCTAAAAATGTCATATTCCCTTAGTCCACCTGTAGTAGGCTTGAAATAGTTAACTAGATGCATGCCCACGGCTGGGGACATGTAAACGCGTGAGTAACCGCGAACCAATCAATTCTGTACACTTCAGTGGGGGAGGGGGCTCAAAGTTAGTTATCAGCCAAGATGTTCCTTTCCTCCCAAGACGCAAGGATAGTGAGTAGGATGCCTTCCCCTGCCCTGTGCAGAGAGATTACAGAGGGAGGGAAGACATTTCCAGAAAGATGGCAGCTGCTTTCAGAATTTCACAGAGAGCGAATGGGAGGAGCATGCACAGATAGGGGCAGTGTCACATTCGGAACTGTGGGTGCTGGGGCAGGAGGGATGGAGTTGACCAGTAGGCTGGTCCTCAGCCGGGGCTCCTTTGCTTTGGATGGACCAGCTAGGAGATGAGAAAAAATCCGTTCCGATGGCCAGTGTGGGACATGAATCACTGAGGCTGGGAACTCAAAGATCAAACAGTCTTAAGCCAGAAAGAAGAAATAGATTGGACTGGACCAAAACAGACACATTTTCCTTCACTAGGTCTTTCTCAGGTTTAATCCTGTTTCTTAGGGACGGAAGCTAAGGAATTGACATCACAACCACACTGGGTATTCCTTGCTGTTTGGTGCGATTATAATTATGGTTTAATTGACTACTTAGTAATCTGTGTGGAGTTTGTTTGCACCTTATGGAGTTCCTGGCTCTCTGAAGCCCCCAGATTCCCTGTTGTTGGCAGAGGGCCCAGATTTTACCCAGCCCCTTGGCACTAGGCTTTATTTACTGTGTCTTTGTTTTTCTTAATGTTTTTGATTTTGGAGAGGGGGAGAGGGGGAGGAGTAGAAAGAGAGGGAGACACAGAATCTGAAGCGGGGTCCAGGTTCTGAGCTGTCAGCACAGAGCCTGACAAGGGGCTCGAACCCACGAACCATGAGATCGCGACCTGAGCTGAAGTCTGATGTTCAACCAACTGAGCCACTCTGCCACCCCAACAGTCTTCGTATAGCTGTGACTGCTTGAACGAAACAAAGGTGAGCAGAACACCTAGCAGAGGTCAGGTAACAGAAAAGATAGGATGTGTAAAGGGTCAAAGAGAACAGGGATAGGCCTTGGGATGGGGGCAGGATGGTGGGCCAGACATGGGGTCCACGAGAGGACAAAGCCCCAATGCAGAGGCCCATCAAGATGCATAAGCCAAGACCAAGGCTGAGAAGGTGGGATGAACAAAGGTCACACACAACTGAACACAGGAGGAGATGGGCTGGTGGCCGCACCCACCACAGAGGTGAGATTTAGGAGGAGGAGGGGCACAGACCTGTCAAAATTTTTTTCTTCAATCTTAATTTGTTCAGTGATTGCTAACAGCGTAATTGTTTTATCTTAGCCCAAAAAGATGGGGGTTAACTTGACTTCATCTGTCATGGGGCCGTGGCCCCAGAGAGGGCCTTCTCTCAGGCCGGATACTCTAGGTGCCTCCCCATGTTCCATCTCCAGTTTTTCCGGTCCTGAGCCAACTGGTGTGAGGAACGCGCCGGGATGAAGTTAAGTGTAGGGCACCGTGGGGGCGTCTGAGGGAAAATCAGGAGCCGTTGGGGGTGGGGGGGTGTTCAGGGAAGGCCTTTGGCACCCCGTTTTCGTTGTGAAGGGAGAACTCCAGAACAGGCTGTGGTTGGGGCTGGGGGGAGCAGAGACCAGGCCAGCGCTCTGTGCTCCAGGGCCTGGGAGAGAAAGGGCCTGGGGCAGGGCAAGCCTAGGATGGAGAGGCTGAGGGTGAGGAAGGTGAATGTGTCCAGCTGTACCATTTAGCCCAAGGGGAGACTCTGATCTCTGGGAACTGGTGGAACAGCTACTCAAAGAAAAGTTACCACCCGACCTACCCTTCTTAGTCCCGGAGGAGAGCGCTCACACCCTCCTGAGCGCTCACACCCTCCTGACACTCCACGCCCACCCTCCCTCGAGAAGGTAAATAGGAGGCGAGTCTGCGAAAGAAAACAGGGTATTAAAGCAGCTCCGTGAGAGCTAAAGCCCAGCTGAGAGTGTGAGCACGAGGTCGGTGTCCCGCGGAGGAGACAGAGGGCAGCTTTGTGTGGGGCCCCAGCCGCCTCCTATCTCCCTGCTGCTGGTTCCTGGGGAACATGCGGGGGCTCCTGCTTTCCACACTCCTGGGCGCTGCTCTGGCACAGGTAAGCTCCCCCCTCCTCACCGCTTCCCCTCAGGAGTTTCAGATTTCTCCAGGTCAGAAATTAAAAAGGAAGAAGATGGGGGCAGAGTGGGGGGGGGGGCAAATACCTTGTGGGAATACTTCATGCCAAACGGGGAGCCATTTTCGTCTCCAAATAAAAGTTGTGTTTAGTTTAGAAGCTTCGGGAAAGAAGTGGAAAACATTTCTTCCTTTCAGGTAACGGCACCGAATCCACTTTCGATATGTTTGAACAGCTCCCAGATTTGAATAGTGTATATTTTTTAGGGGGGGGGGTACGACACACACCGCGTGGTCTGGAGGCGGCCGCCGGGGTGAAGGAGCCCCTTCATCTGGGCTCCAGGCTGGGGCTCAACTTTCCGTGGCTGTGTGAGAAAGGTGCAGAGAGCCACTGGAAAAAATGATTCTGACGACTTCCTTCAGCTAAGCCTGTCCTTGTTTGAAAGGAGCACTTGGGCTAAACATTTATATTTTTAAAATGTTCTGTTACTTTGTCTCTTCTCAAGTCATGCGTTTCTCCCTTTTCATGAAAAGGAAGCGGTCCGTGAAGACTTGGGAATAGTTTCAAGCAACAGACCAAAGGGAAATTTAATTTGAGAGGAGCAAGTCGTTGCCTTGGGATTTTTTAATAAGAAGATGAAAACAGGGTGACTTGTGTATGTGGATTTATTTACATGGAGGTGGTTACTGCTTGCACAGAGGACAGAGCTTTCGAAACCTTCCGGTGGTTGGGGAAACATGGACGTGTGTGGGAGTTAGTAGCCCAGTAGGGCGCTCAATTGTGTTTTAGGAAGCAGGAGATTGAAATTTGTTATCTAGGATATGGAGATTTCAGACTGTAGAAGAATCCTAACAAGAATGCCACTGGTGTGGTTTGTCTCCACTGCTATATGGAGGGGCACATTTTCTCCAGGGGAGGTGAGACGGAGCTGTCTCCCGCTCCACCCTTCTTGAGAAAAGGCCCATTGTTGTTGTTGTGGATTGAATAGCACCTATCCCGACAGAGAGGTGTCCAAGATAAAAAACAAAAACAAACACAAAGAGGTTAAGACACGGCAACAAGAAAGTATTATTTTGCTTAATTTTGTCATTATGAACTTTTGAGGAATAATACCTACTCCTTGTTGAAGGTCTGCTACGTGCCGAGCACTGTGCTAGGTACTTTAGTCATTATCTTAATTCTCAAAATAACCTTACGACGTGGATTATTATTATTATTATTAATCCCATTTTACAGAGGAGGATTGAGGCTTAAAGATCAAGTAAATGATAGTCATCTGAGATCACAGAGCTGTACCAAATCTCAGCGCTGGTGTAAAAACCCTTTGTTTCTGGTGCAACAGAAGAGCCTATTTTGGTGTCCCAAAAGAGTTCTGTTCCATTTCTTCTCTGTCGCACCGAGTCTTGAAAGATGGTTTCACTGGAGATAGAACACCAGGTTGACAGTTGTTTTTTTGTTTTTCCTTTCAGCATTGGGTCTTATTCTCCACCTCCCTCCCACCTTCCTTTTTTTTTTTAAAGGCTTATTTTTTTTTTTTCCCCCCAGAAAAGCTTTAAGGTCACAGCAAATTTGAGAGGAAGGTAAAGAGATTTCCTGTCTACCACTTGCACGGCCTCCCCGCTTATTAACATCCTCCACTAGAATGGTACCTTTGTTACAACTGATGAACCTACATTGATCAGTATTACCTAAAGCCCATAGTTTACCTTGGGGTTCACGTTTGGTAGTGCCCATCCCAGGAGTTTGGACAAATGTACGATGACATGTATCCGGCATCACAGGATCATGGAGTATTTTTGCTGCCTTAAAAATCCTGTGCTCCACCCCGTCCCCCAATTCCTGGCAGCTAGTGATCTTTTTAGGGTCTCCGTAGTTTTGCCCTTTTCCAGAATATCCTATAGTTGGAATCATACAGTAAGTAGACTTTTCAGATTGGCTTCTTTCACTTAATAATATGGGTGTCTTTTCATGGGTTGATAGCTCATTTCTTTTTAGTACTGAATAATCCATTGTCCGGATCACAGTTTATCCAAGGCACCTACTGAAGAGTATCTTGGTCTCCTTTTGATGGGAGGTCAGATCTCTCTCTTGTTGTTATTCTCTTGTATGTAATGTAATGCTTCTCTTTACAAAGTACAGAGTAAAGTTATGCTTTTCCGAGTACACTTTCAAGATTTTCTCTTTATCCTTGGTTTTCAACAGGTACCTTGTGGCCTCAGAGATTGTATAGAAATGCTTCAAGACGGGAAAGAGAAGCAGGTGTCCCCAGGTGGGCAGTTTGGAGAGTAGGCATTTCCTTGAAAGGAAGAAACATGAGGAAAAGCATGGAGGAGGAAAGGGACCTGGTGAGGCTCGTAAGCAGTAAGGTGGAGGAGGAGAGTGCATTGAAAGCGAAGGCTGGAGAGGAAGGCATGAACCCGCACAGGCTTCAGACAGCATGCTCAGAATTTTGCACTCTATGCTGTAGCAGTAGGGAACCACTGGTGCCCTGTACGAGGAGGGGTAGTATTATCAGACAGGTTTTCTAAACAGATACCTCCAGCAGAAATATGGCAGATTCATTTGAGGAGTCATTATTGAGGGAGGAAGACCAGTTAGGAAGTTATTGCAATAGTACTCAGTAGCCACGCAGAAGGGGGTAGAGTGGCTACTTGTAGGAATAGGAGGACAATTCGCATTAGGCACTGAACGGCTATGGGAAGTGTGGGAGATGACGACCAGGAGGATTCCCGGCATCCTGACTCCAAACGTTGGAGAAGCTATCCAGAAGGGGGGGGGGGGGGGGGACAGTGACGATGAGTTTGGGGAATGAATTTTTCCCATGGAACATTCTAGTGGCACTGTTTTGTAGGTAGTCAGCTGTAGGGCTATAGAGCTTGGTGGAGAACTCCTGGATGAAAATTTAGTTTCGACACTTGCACAGGGTGGAAATGGAAGGCAAGGGGGTAGAGGAGATTGCCAAGAGACTGTGTAGAGTGAGAAAAGACAGCAAGGTCACAGAACACCAGTTAGTCTAAGTGTAAGTCAGATTTGGGGTAATAGGAGTCTGCAGAGGAGAGTGAGAAAGTAGATTGAGAGGTAGGGGTAGACCTGGGAGGGTCTGGCGTCATGAAAGCCAGGGGAGAGGAGAGGATTAAGAGTCAAACAGGGGGCACCTGGGTGGTTCAGTTGGTTAAGCATCCTTCCAACTTTCGATTTCGGCTCAGGTCATGATCTCCCAGTTCGTGGGATTGAGCTCCACATCTGGCTCTACACTGACTGCCCTCATACTCTCTCTCTCCAAAATAAATGAAGCATAAAGAAAAAAAAAAAAGTCAAACACCTTAGAGAGGAGGCAAGAGGAAAACAGAGATTCCATGAACATGAGCCCAGCTGGGAGGCCAGTGAATCTGGCAGGAAGGCCCCGGCAACCATGTCTGAACCAAGGGAAAATTGAGAAGAAGACGCTGTTTCTACTCCCTTCTCCACTTTTGTATTTCCAGTCCCCGCCACCACCTCCTCCAGAATCCCAGCACAGTTTAAATTTTTTTTTCTTCAACATTTTATTTTTGGGACAGAGAGAGACAGAGCATGAACGGGGGAGGGGCAGAGAGAGAGGGAGACACAGAATCGGAAACAGGCTCCAGGCTCCGAGCCATCAGCCCAGAGCCTGACGCGGGGCTCGAACTCCGGGACCGCGAGATCGTGACCTGGCTGAAGTCGGACGCTTAACCGACTGCGCCACCCAGGCGCCCCCCAGCACAGTTTATACTCAAAATCTATCCTCACGTGGTCTCTTCAGCTTGAATTGTAGCTGAGAGGGTTGCTCTGGGGAATTCGTGTTACCAGTGATAAGCAAAAGGGCTGAGGTTGTAAGGGTGGAATTTCAAACTCATACTCTTAAATGTAGGATGTTTTGGCTTGGAAAGAGGTTTAGATTTCTGGATCAGTGCAAGTGCCTTCAGGCTATCAAATAAATGGAGGGTTAATTATAGAAATGACTTGCCAGGCACTGTGCTAGGTGCCAGTATTAATTAAAATGAACCACAAAGTCCCTGAGGATGGGTAGCTTTAAGCGTGTGGAAAAGACAGACACTTACACAAATGGTTTCAATTCAAGGGCATGTAAAAGAGAGGGGGGTGGGGGGTGGGGAGAGATCGTAAGAAGTTTTCTGGAAAAGGCCATAGCTAAACAGAGCTGGATGAAGAGTGAGGGCCAGTGAAGAAGGTTAGAGCCAGATGGAACAGCATCAGCTATTCAGGGAACGGCCGGCCGACACTTGAACTTGCCAGAACCTAACGGATGCTAGGAATGCGGGAGATTGAGGAGGGCCCTGAATGCTGTGCTTAGGAGCTTGGACTTTCCCAAGTCAGTCACTTTCGGGTGTGAGGGATGAAGGAGAGGAGCAGGTGAGGTCCATTTTCAGCTTCCTGGCTTGGGGAGCTCAGTGGTTGGCCCCACCATTCGCTAAAAAGGGAACTAGGTGAGGAGCAGTCTGTTGTGGGGAAGGAGAAAGTGAGATCCTCGTGGGACAGCAAAGTGGCTATACCCAGGGGAAATTAATGAGTTGTAAGCTTAGGGGGAGAGGCCTTGGCTGGAGAGGAGAGACAGATGAAGATTAGGGGGTTTGTTTAGTATCAAAGCTGGCTTGTGGCGGGACCCGGACGAGGGAAGGAGCAAAGGTCAGGGTTGAGAGCTCGGGCTCTGAAATCTGCCGGTCTAGTTTAAATCCCTCTTCTACTGCTTGATGTAGGACTTAGGACAGGTTAAACAATCTGAGCTTCAGTGGCCTCATTTATAAAATGGGGTGTATGGTTTCCTCCTGCTCCTGTAACCCGTTACCACCGATTTAGCGGCTTAAAACAACACAAATTTATTATTTTACACTTCTGGACATCTGTAGTGTGAAAATGGGTATTAGAGGGCTAAAATCAAGGCTCGGCAGGGCTCTTCCTTCTGGAGGGTCTAGGAGAGAGTCTGTGCTTTGCCTTTGGCAGCTTTTTAAAAAAGTTTAATTACTTATTTTGAGAGAGAGAAAGGGAGAGAGAGCAGGAGACAGAGACAGAATCCCAAGCAGGCCCCGAGCCATCAGTACAGAGTCCCTTACAGGGCTCAAATCCACAAGCTTTGGAGGTCATGACCTGAGCTGAAGTCAGACACTTAACCAACTGAGCCACCCAGGTGCCCCTGCTTTCTGCAGCTTTTTTCCTTTTTAATGTTTTTATTTATTTTTGAGAGAGAGAGAGAGAGAGAAAGAGCAAGCGGGCGGGAGAGGGGCAGAAAGATGGAGGAAGACAGAGAGTCTGAAGCAAGCTCCAGGCTCTGAGCTGTCAGCACAGAGCCCGTCGCAAAGGCTTGAGCTCACGAGCCGCGAGATCATGACCTGAGCTGGATGGCGACTCCACCAACTGAGCCACCCGGGCACCCCCGCTTTCTGCAGCTTTTAAAGGCTCCCGCACTTGTGGCTCATGACCGCCTTTCAGCTGTGACATCACGCCTGCCTCTGCTTCCATCCCATCTTCTCTGACATTCCTGCCTCTTTCCCATTGAAGGATACTTGTGGCTATATTGGGCCCACCTGGTTCATCCAGGATACTCTCATCTCAAGACCTTTACCTGCATCTGCAAAATCCCCTTTGCTGTGTAAGGTAGTATCTTAACAGGTTCTGGGGATTCGAACACAGGCATCTTTGAAGGAACACTTATTATGCCTACCACACGTGGCTAACAACGGCTCCATCCTCTTCTAATGAAGGCTAAATGATATTAGGTAAGGCGCTTGGCACAGAGGAGGTACCATGTTCTTTCATTCCATACATTTTATTACAGGGAATAAGACTGCAAAAAAGCTTGCCCTTTCAAGAAGCTCACATTCTTGATGCGTGACTTTGAAGATAAACAAGTAGAATATATAGGAATAAGACAGGTGGTAAGAAGGTCTGTGGGCTAAAAGGCTGGGGCAGGGTCTGTTTTACAAAGGGTGGACAAGAAGGGCCTCACTGATAAATTTGAGCACAGACCTAAGCAACTGAAAGAGTGAGCCACGAAGATACCTGCGGGAGGAACATGCTTGGAGTATTCAAAGAATGGGGAGGCCAGGTGGACCTGAGGTTGCAGGGCCTTCGAGGGTCATTTGGCTTTTACACCGAAATGTGAAGCCGTGAGGAAGCCACCTCTTATGAGCAAGGAGTGACATGAATTACAGTATGATTGTAAAAAGATACACATATTTAATGTATACCATTTGATGAGCTCCAGGATAAGTATATACTCATTAAACCAAAACCACTACCAAAGCCCTAAACATATCCATCACCTCCCAGAGATTTCTCCTGCCCCTTCTATCTATTATTGTTTGTGTGTGCGTGCGGTAAGAACATTTAACATAGGATCTACTCTCTTAGCAAATTTTAAGTATATGTGTAATGTGGTAACTGTTAGCTATAGGCACTGTAGCTTATTTCATTTTAACCATTGTGCTGAGTGAAGAATCTAGAAGACAAAGGGGGAAGCAAGGAGATCCTTTAGGAGACCATTACAATCATCTAAAGTGAGAAATAATGGTAGCTTGGTGGTGATGGGGGGGGGTGCTATCTAATCATTTCTGATTAGAGTTGGGTACATTTTAAAGGCATAACCAACAGGATTTACTGATAGGATTGCATAGAAAATGGGAGAGAAGAGTCAAGAATGACCCGACCCCAAGGTATTCTGGAAAAGTGAAATTGGCCTGTGTTCAGCAGGGATGTGCACGGAAGGGTATCTTGGAAGAGAAATTGGGAGTTTGTTCTGGTCACACTGAGCTCGCTGTGCCTGTCAGATATCCAAGTGGAGACCGGGCAGTTCGCATCGGAGTTCCCAAGACAGGGCTGGAGGGAGACAGGCGATAGAGAGAGGGAGGAGCCTTCAGAGGTGTTCACCGCAGGGGGCTCCAATTAGAGAGTGAGAAGGAGCAGCGAGGAGGGAGGAGGAAGAAGAACGAGTGATGTGTGGGCAGCTGAGTGAAGAAAGGTTTACGGAAAGAGGCATGGTGACAGTTCCCGATGGATATTGCGACGCTCCCCGCTGTTATCTCTCAATTCAGGGGAAGTCTTCGGTTTCTAGAAATCTCTGAAATGAGTTTGAGGCATGCTTTCTAACGGCACCTGTGTCATCCAATGAAGTTCTGCTGCAGGGCGCAGGGCGGCGGGCCGCCAGACACGCCCCCTGAAGGGAGGCCTGGAGAAGCGTCGGAGGTGCACCAGCGTAAACAGTTCTGTCACTGGCCCTGTCAATGCCCTCGCCGGAAGCCCAGCTGCCCTCCTGGAGTGAGCCTGCTGAGGGACGGCTGCGGATGCTGTAAAGTCTGTGCCAGACAAGCAGGGGACATGTGCAACGAGGCCGACCTCTGCGACCCGCACAAAGGGCTGTACTGTGACTACTCGGCCGACGGGCCTAGGTACGAGACCGGAGTGTGTGCGCGTAAGTGTCTTCTCCGGGACCTGCCGGGAGAGGTTGAGCCCAGACAGCATTCCCCCCTCCCTGTAACTGTTGATTGGAATAGTCAGCTTAGTTTGGCTAAGTTTGAGGTGGGTTTGGTTTTCACACCCCGGTGGGACTGGCTTTGTCATATTGGACACCATGTGTTCAGAAACCTGTTCTTGTTAATTGCACTAATGTGATCGTGTAGGGATTCTCAGGTAATTGCCTTTAGTGATAAAAATAGGGGAAACTAGGTGAATAGAGCCTGACTTCTTAAAGTGCCACGAAATGACAGCTTTTGTCACTGTGGTCAAAAGCTCAGTCTGAATTCACCCTTTTCCGCAACTTAAAAATAATCTTGCTTGAAATGTAAGGATGTATATCCTGCTTTAATCTTAGCCTTTCCAAATGATCATCAAGTTACTGTACTTTTAAATGGAAGCAGATTTGTAAAAAGGAAGGTAGCGGGACCCCAAATCACAACCTGACCCTCAGATTTATGGATTTTAACTCTGGAGACTGATGGAGACCATCTAAACCTACACCTTGACAATAACTCAGGATCCTGATTTAGCTAGGATTAAAACTAAGATTTCTAGGGCACCTGGGGTGCTTGGTTGGTTAAGCATCCGACTTCAGCTCCGGTCATGATCTCATGGTCCGTGGGTTTGAGCCCCACATCAGTCTCTGTGTTGACAGCTCAGAACATGGAGCCTGCTTTGGATTCTGTGTCTCTCTTTCTCTCTGCCCTTCTCCCACTCATGCTCTGTCTCTCAAAAATGAATAAACATTAAACAATTAAAAAAAAAAACAAAAAAACCTAAGATTTCTAAGGGAAGAGAGATACCCATGTTAGCTTCACATTTTAGTCAGTCTACAGAAAAGACTGTGTGGGCAGGCAAATTACTCTCGGGTTTTGTTGCGAGCCTGGAATACGAGCACATCTTTGGAGTATGACTGAGTGTGTAGAGCCATTCAAGCTTGATGGCCTGATGCCCCTGTCAGCACTAAACTACATTGGTTAAGAATGCAGGCACCGGGTTCAAATTCTGGACTTTATATGCTGAGCGACCTTGAGGTCACGTTGCTTAACCTCTCTGTGCCTCAGTTACGTCATACATACTTCCTCTTACAGAAGTGCTAGGAGGAACACATGAAATAATGACACAAAACCCAAAGCACCTAGCAGAATATCTGGCAGGCAGTAGACTCTTAGACATGTTAGCTATTATTTGTGGAAATTCAACAGGTCAACAGACCTATCAGACTCTGGCATCAGGATCCTCCTTTCTCCCAAATGGTGCTGGGCAAATTATTTCATTACCCTAAAAAGCACTTAGTGAACCACCACTAATGAGCCAGGCACTGTGCCCAAAGAAAACAAGAAAAGATAGAGGCGCTGCCCTCGCAGAGTCAAACCTTATTGTGTCAGAGCTTTCCACAAGTGATTTCACATAGAATGTGATGAGTATTTTAACAGAGCATAGCCATGAGGGTGGGGGTGGAGATGACCTGAAATGGGTCACAAACTATGGCCCAGGGGCCAAATCTGGCCCAGAGCCTGTTTTTGTAAGTCACATTTTATTGGAACACAGCCACACTATTCAGTTCCGTAGTCTGTGGCTGCTTTATGATAGCAGAGCCCAGTAGTTGTGACAAAAACCAATGGTCTATAAATGCTAAGATATTTACAGGACATTTGCCGATCCATGATACAGAACAATGATTTTTAAACTTTGCTCTAAGGACCCCTTTAGTTTCAGAAATGAATGAATATCCAAAGAGCTTTTGTTTATGTGTTATCTCTATCGGTATTTAGATGGATTAGAAACTTAAAAATATTACTGATCCATTTAAAAACAGAAACCCCATTGCAACTTGGTAGGAATAATATATTTATGAAAATATTTTATTTTCTAAAACAAAGAAAAAATTAGTGAGAAGAATGGAGCTGTTTTACATTTGTGTACCTCTCTAATGTCCAGCTGAACAGAAGATAGCTAGATTTCCCCATCTGCTTCTGTTTTCAATCTATTGCTGTATGTTATTTTTGTTGAAATATATGAAGGAAATCCAGTCTTACATAGGTAGGTCATTGGAAAAGACAGGAATACTTTAACAGGATTTTCAGATAATTGTGAATATTCTTTTTGATATTAAAACTTGAGAAGTGGTACTTTTTTATTTAAAAAAAATTTTTTTTAATGTTTATTTATTTCTGAGACAGAGAGCAGACAGAGCATGAGCAGGGGAGGGGCAGAGAGAGAGAGAGAGAGAGGGAGACACAGAATCCGAAGCAGGCTCCAGGCTCTGAGCTGTCAGCACAGAGCCCGACGCGGGGCTCGAACTCACAAACCGTGAGACCATGACCTGAACCGAAGTCGGTTGCTCAACTGACTGAGCCACCCAGGTGCCCCTAGAAGTGGTACTTTCTTGAAAATTAGCTGTATCATGGAATCTGAAACCCTATCAATGAACTTGGCAGAGTCTGTGACATCAAAATGCATTAGTCTATCCAAGACCTAGTTGGAATGGGTCTTTTACTCGTGTATAATTTTGTAACACTATGCATTGGTTATTTGGAAAATACTAGTTTGGGAAAAGGTGATGTAGATGTTCCAAATATTGATACACTTTATACAAGATTAAAAAAACACATTAACCAATACCAATCTAATCATAAAAGTCTGCATATTGGGTAGCTATAGAGATCTTGGTGGTGGATATAGATTTTCCAAACTTCTAATTTTTGCTTGAAAGCCTGAATTCTGTCATTGGCCAGAAAAGTGTTTCCCTTGAAGTGACACTCTCACCGTTGATTTTCAAGAAAATGTCGGCCAAATACCTGAGTAATCATGGTTTATCTGTCAGTCATCTCTTTAGGTGAAATCCTCACTCAAAAAGTGGTTTCGTTCAGCCCCAAACTCAAACAATAGAATAGGTGCTTCTCAAGACGATACAATATCTACAGAAATGCTCTCTGTAACACTGCCTACTCTGTCACACAGGATATTAAAATGACATATATTTGGTGATTAAGATTTAGTAAAATTGGTAATTTCTACTGTTATTAGGACATTATTGAGTAAAACTAGATTTTCTTTTTTTTTCCGAAAGCACATTTATGTACAAGTGCATTGGCAGGGAAAAACACAGTACTAGCCCGTACGGTTTGATTCACGCTAAGGCTCCAGCAGCAGTGTCAGCCGCCATTGCTCTTACACCCTCAGTGCAAATACCAACATGGTGAAAAAAGTCAGGCACATCTCAGTGTTCTGAAAGGGTTTTGACCTTGCGGATTCTCTGAAAGGGCCTCAGGTACCGCCAAGAGGCGCGAGGGGTCACACTTTTGAGAATCGTTGATCCAGGTCAAGAATACCTCTCAGAGGAGTGAAAGTTTCCTCCAATTCTCTTAACAACAACAAAATTAGTTGCTGTGCAGTACTGTAGTTAAACAAATTATGGTTTCTTCAGCCATTCACGTATCCTCATTTCCTACAAACACATCCTTGCCTATTGTTGGACATCTGGGAAACCTCAGTCTTCCCAGCCACCAATCCATCTCTCAGACTTACAATCAGTGTCTCAGTGCGATTCTCCTACTGATCCTGGATAGGGCCTGTACTTGGTCTTGATTCTGAAAGCGACTGACTGGAGCAGATCGCCTACAATATAATGGAAATGTCTCATTTCCACCTTTTACACATGTTCTGAGAAAGTCCCAGATGGGGCCTAAGAAGCTGAGAACACTACTTCATAAAGGAGATAGCTATTACCCCTGTGATTCATAATGGGAGGTCTGGATTATCAGTTATGGCTTCTTTGGTGATTCTGCTCTTCTCTCTTTTCAGATCTTATGGCTGTGGGATGTGAGTTCAACAGGGTACATTATCATAACGGCCAAGTCTTTCAACCCAATCCCCTGTTCAGCTGTCTCTGTGTGAGCGGGGCCATTGGATGCACACCTCTGTTCATACCAAAGCCAGCTGATGGTCACTGCTCTGGGGCTAAAGGTAGAAAGAAGTCTGATCAATCAAACTGTGGCCTGGGACCGTTCCAACAGCAGCTTTCAACAAGCTACAAAACAATGCCAGGTGCTTAAAGGCTTATTTAGTTCTCATGTATGGCTTCCTGTGATCTTCTTTCATGTTTCTTTTATGTACCACAGGTACTCAGTAAGTACTTATGGCTTAGTGGTCAGTCTGAGAGTTAGGTTGGGTGTGCTATCTTACTCAGTCTCTGCCTCTCAGATAGGTAGTTTTCTAAGTATCCCTAAAGGAAACTTTATAATGTTTTAGATTTTTCCAGTAAAATATTCCAGTTTTTAAAAGCTCTGCTCAGGTCAGAAAAACTCTTCTATGCCCCTGGCTCATTCCACTCAACCTCTTCTAAGGAAAACTGACCAAATATTGTTCACATGCACCCTGAGAGAAACTTTTACTTGTACTGTTATATTATGGGCAAGACGTGTGACCCATCCAGTTCCAAAAATTTTCAAAGGCAACTCCTGTGTATGACAAAAGCAGAAATGGAAGCCTGCTTATTAAAAACATTTGAGAATATGTTTTGAATTTGTAAATATTGTTTCTAAACATAGGAAACTGCTGACATACGATTATTCTTTCATTCGGTCTGAAAATGCAGCTCTACAGTTACCAACCTCTCTCTAAATAAACACACATACAGGTATTTTAAAGTAGGGTCCCCAGCTATATATGTAGTCAGAAACCCCTAATGAGACTCTTTCTCACTCATCGTGAGCACTTGGCCATTTACAGTTAGTGTCCGTATATTCATAAATACTATATACTGGTCTGCTTTAAGTTAACATCTTGTTTAAATGCCAGGGCATTTTGGGGACAGGAGTTTCAAAAACACCCACAAATGAAGCACAGATGAGGAAGGACTCAAAAGGGTCAGTATTCATGCCTGGTTATTATTCACAGCTCTGTGTTTTTACCCAGAAATCAAGAATGCCTTTTTATTGAAATTTGGAGCTTAGTAAATGAAAGGTGCCATGGAAATACAGGAGGAATATTTATATATGCTAAAAACTTCTAAGTTCAGTTACATTATGTGGATATTTAACAAAAGCAACTATAATCAAGCAATGAATTTTAGATATTTAAAAAACTAACTCTATGAAAGGAACATTCTCAGAGATTTCCATCATGCCAATTAATTTGAAAATAATTGAACAGGTTGTAGTGAATTTGCATTTACCATACTTGGTTATTTAGCTAACAGCACGATGCCACTAATGCTCTAAAACCTCTAAAATTATAAGCCAAGCTGTTCTTTTTTGCAAAATGTCCGGGAACAGCTGATTTTCTGAACTGGATCTGAGGGGCTCCGTCTAAGTTCTTGGGCCTCACGCATGAACCTCACTGGTGAGAAAATGCCCTAGGGCAGCAAGTTTCCACTAGAGCATCCTTTTGGATCAAGTTCAGTCGGTCTCATTTGCGGAAGGAGAGTAGTTGCAGAGGATCATTGGAACCTGGTTGGAGGGGGTGTTACATGGTCAGTCTCAGTGGCTTGTGCTTTGCTACAAAAAGTGAGAAATTCTGTCACTGTGCTCTCTGGTAATTGAGACCACAGGTCTAGATATGTTAGTGTATGTTCAGTCTAATGTCTCTCCTCTGCTTACCTGTGAAACTGTGGTTAGGGGCCCAAAGAGCAGTTTGGGTTTTAAAAGCAAACAGTGACCAATATACACGTTAAGGTGTATTTGGGCATACTTTACTCCAGATGGCCTACGGTTGGATTCTAGCTTTTGCTCGCTCACGATGAAGCATATGCAGTGACATAATGCCCCCATGCTTTTCTCACTGCTCCCCAAATACTAAACTCTTACTTTAAAAGCTCTTCTAGTCTTCTTGCTTCTTAATGTTAACTTCCTGAACTGCAGCTCTTGGCTTAACTTTTTAATGGGGTTATTGGTAATGTGATAATCTAACCTACCTTTATTTATTGCAGATGCGTGCCAGGCTTTTAATCTGCTTCCTGCGTTGAGGTCTTTAAACTGTTGTCTACCTTCCAGGTATCTTCATGTTTCTGCTTCCTCTTCCTCAGTTCCTTGTGCAATTGCAACATCCTACCGTTAATAACACTGAAAGCAGTAAAGTATCATTTATTCGAAGACGGCACACACTTCAAAGTGACTGATATTTCCTATCAAGAAGGTAGTTGCGGGGAGGGGGGCATCTTTTCAGAGTTTTAAATTTCCATTTTGAAGCAATATAGCCAGAATTTTGCTATATTCAACTGCAGACTCAAATCACAACCTTATTCCAAGTATCTGTTTTAGGATGCATATTAACCTTAAGGAAATGCTTTGAGACAACTAAAATGTAGTGTTTAAAATGAACCAATGGCCTCATTCATGAACAGAACAGGAAGCTCCCAGTGGATTTATAAGATGGAGGAATTATTATGCACTCATTATATTCTCATTATTCACCCCCCCCTTCCCCTCCCTTCTGCTAAGCATCAATCAGTGGAGGGGCTCCATCTGTCCAGCAAATTACCCACCCGCCCATAGATCTATCTTTTCCTTTGCCATTTCTTTCTATAAGTGATTTGAAATGGCTGGCCAACGGAAAGAATACCATGGGCCTGATACCATAGGGAATGTAGCAATTAAGCTGAATGAACAGAATAGATTACACACTCACTATGACTTAGTATATGGTTATTTTGATTAGTTCAATGTAATGTAGAGAATTTTCTAAAAGACCACATTAAAACAAGTAGAGGAAAAATAACTGGCCTTAATAGTTTATTCTCAAACATAACTTTTGTATTTTAGATTTTAGCATGCCATGAAAGTTAACATTAAGACATCATTCTGACTAATACCTTGAATTTCTTAATCCTACTAATGTCTATTTCATTTTTGAAAATAATATCTAGCAAGAGGCAAGTAGTTTAGTACTAAGAGAATGAGCTAGTAAGCAGAAGCAAATGGATACATTTACTCAGATTTTCAAAGATAAATTATCTTTATTCTTCCTAAGAAACTGTACTGTAACATTTGGCTAAAAGGTAATTTGGGGACACCTGGGTGGCTCAGTCGGTTGGGCGTCCAACTTCAGCTCAGGTCATGATCTCACAGTTTGTGAGTTCAAGCCCCACATCAGGCTCTGTGCTGAAAGCTCAGAGCCTGCAGCCGGCTTCGGATTCTGTGTCTCCCTCTCTCTCTGACCCTCCCGGCTCACATTCTCTTTCTCTATCGAAAATAAATAAACATTAAAAAAAAAAAGGTAATTTGAAAGTAGGAGAGAGCATGATGAGTTAGACTGCAAGTTTATTTTATTCTGAGTTACACTGCATAAAAGGAAAAGTTCTGATCTATTTACTATTAGCTTAAAAATAATTATTAAAAGTTGTCTATCTGTGTGAGTACATAATTATGTATACACATGTACTTTTCCCCCTTTATTTTAGCTTATAGGAATCTCCCACTTATTTGGAAAAGAAAATGTCTTGTGCAAGCAACAAAGTGGACCCCTTGCTCCAGAACCTGTGGGATGGGAATATCTGATAGGGTGACCAATGAAAATAGCAACTGTGAAATGAGAAAAGAGAAAAGACTGTGTTATATCCAACCCTGTGACAGTAACATATCAAAGAGAATAAAGGTAAAATTTAATCAGATTTAGTTTCATTGTAATTCAATATTAAGAGACTCCTGAAAAGTACGTGTTTTAGAGGGATAGACAGTATGCGATTCTTGTAAAAATAAAATCACCTCATTGTAACTCTTAAAGTCAAACTATTTGGGAGGAAAGCAAGTATTAATCTAATTGCATTTCATGGGGGGAAATCTTACCAAGCAGGGAGGTACTGTTAGCCTGCTGATTCTAGATACTCTAGTAGCTTAACAGTGTGGGTCTTGATCAGCCTGATTTGTTGTGGTACACCCACTATGCATGCTTTTAAAAAGCAAATCCTGGGGCGCCTGGGTGGCGCAGTCGGTTGAGCGCCCGACTTCAGCCAGATCACGATCTCGCGGTCTGTGAGTTCGAGCCCCGCGTCGGGCTCTAGGCTGATGGCTCAGAGCCTGGAGCCTGTTTCCGATTCTGTGTCTCCCTCTCTCTCTGCCCCTCCCCCGTTCATGCTCTGTCTCTCTCTGTCCCAAAAATAAATAAACGTTGAAAAAAATTAAAAAAAAAAAAAAAGCAAATCCTTTTCAGAGTCTAACTTTTAAAAACTATGTTAATTTTATGTAGTGGAATCAAAGCAGTGGGTAAAAGATTTTGGTTGCTGTATCATAATGATAAGAACTGACATTATGAACATCAGAGTTCTGATGTTGGTTATAGATCACCAACTTGGAGGGAGAAACCACCATTTCCAAAATGCTCTGTGCTTATTAGATAGTAAACTTGCCAAAGGACTATGATAAAATATTTACCCCGGAATTGTTTGGTATAACTAGAGCTGGTCCTACTTCTAGAACAAGGCAAGATGACTGTCTCAAGAGTAAGTTTTGGAAATGCTACAAAACCTTTCTCATCCCCAAGTTATTCCCTACCATATTAAGAAGTTGACAACTCAGTTTTAAACGGATTAAGATATTTATTCATCCACTCAAAACTGAGTTTTGTTAGGGAATTTGCTAAGCCTTAGGTAAATAAACATCTAATAAGACGTGGCCCTTGATATTAAATAAGACAAATTTTCATTGTGGAAATTGTGGAAATGAAGGGTGGAGAGCAACAAAAACAGGGAGTGGGTCCTATGATGGAGCAAGAACAGGGAGGACAGACCTCTGGGTGGGGGGGGGGGGTGGGGGGTGGAATTCAAAGGTAAAAAAGAGTGCTGATTCACTAAGAAATATTAATGCCCTGGAAATAATTATACCTGTGTGTTTGTGCTATAAAAATGTTCTGTATACAGTTTCACTTTTCTAATGACTTCTTAATGTTATGTACCTTTTCAGATCCCTAAAGGAAAAACGTGCCAACCCACTTTCCAACTTCTCAAAGCTGAAAAATTCATCTTTTCTGGATGCTCAAGCACTCAGAGTTACAAACCCACTTTCTGTGGAGTATGCTTGGATAAGAGATGCTGTGTCCCTAACAAGTCTAAAATGATTACCATTCAATTTGATTGCCCAAATGAAGGGTCGTTTAAATGGAAGATGCTGTGGATTACATCTTGTGTATGTCAAAGAAACTGCAGAGATCCAGGAGATACATTTTCGGAGCTCAAGATCCTATAAAACCAACTTTATATGGGAAAAGTTAAGTTTAGGTAATCATGTCATTACATCATAAAATTAGAATGGTTTTAAAGGGTGGCAAATCTACCTTATTGATTTAAAACAGTAAGAATGCCTACTTATTCTCAAATGACTGTATTTAAGGCAATAGAAGCTTTTAAAAAGGTTTGTTAAAAAAATATATGTAAAACTTAAAAACCTTAAAAGTGAACTCTTTAAAATGTATAATTATGAAATACGCAGATACTTGGTTCCATCTACATATTCCATACATAATGGAAAATTATACAATTTACAAGAAAACATTTCATTCTATAAAGTAATCTGGAATACTTTGTTGAAGATGTGTAAAAAGTTTAAAACTCTTAAAACTAGCCTTTAAAACTTTGTGTACTTTGACAATGTAGCCTAGGATCCAGTCAGATGATAATCATTACATGGTGAGCAAGATTCTAGGTTAATTCTTAAAAAGGAGTAAGATTAAACTGTAAATATATTTATAGCTTCCATTGCCCTATCCTGAATATGAGCTTATTAAGGTTTCTTTTGGAAGGAGAAAGTAGAACTTCGTTGGCCATTGTTAACAACTGTAGACAACTGTAATCTAAAAGTTTATATACCAAATAATGTAAAAAATTAAATTTCCAAGATAAAGATCTAAAGCAGTATCCTTACTTTGAAAAGGAAAGAAACTTAAGAATATAACACTAAAGAAAAGCACACAATGGATTATTCTAGCTTGAAAATTGTCCCTAAAAATTACTTCCTTAAATGACAAATCTATCTATGGACTTAAAATATAAATTATTTTATTTAAAGATAAATTAATGTTAAAACCTAGAGCTGGAGATTATAGTAACAAGAACACTTTCACTAGACTATTACAGCCATTTGCTGCAAAGTTCAGAAGAAGGTATCAGGCTAAGTAACATTCTGTTTGCTTATATAAATGGTGACAAGCAAAACCAATAATAATACTGTTTAAAAATATGGACATTTATTATTATAAAATCAACTGGTTTAATAAAAAGCATTATATTTAAAGATAATTTAATACAAATACATGTTAAAATAAATGTAAAAATTCTTTTCAGTGCAAACAGGTGGTTACCCAAACAAGAAACAAAACCTCCCTAATAGCTGTAAAAAAACCTATCCCTGAAAAGTTAGTGGGTATTACACAGAAATATTTACATTGTGTTCTTCTATTACTCCTCGTACTCACTTTTAAAGAATCAGGAGAATTCAACCAAATAAATTATAAATTTATTTAACAGCTCTAGTTATACCAAATAATTCCAGGGCAAATTCCAGGGCTGAAAAAATAAATTATAAATAAATATATGAAAATCTGTGTAAGATTTTTATTGAAGACATGATTACCATTGTATGAATGCCTGAATATGAAACTCTAAATAAAGTAAAATGTTGAACTCTGTTTTCTCAATTTCAGAAAAAGGGAACTTTCTGAAGATAAATGTTTGAAGTTAAAGGTACTAGGACTTTCAGTAATGTCACACACTGGTATCGCCCATGAATTGTGATGAAAGGAAAACCACTCTTTTTTTTAAGGCAAAAATGCTTTCTAATATGAAAAGTGCAAACTAGACTTTCTGAATCACAAAAGTTCTGAAAACAGAAAGATAAAGTGACCAAAAAATGTGAAATTCAGAATTGTAAAAGTACTGTTGGGGTTCTGTTTTACACAGCTACGCTTAGTCTAGGTAAATGTTCCACAGGCATGCTTCGTGTGGCGTCCAGTTGGTTATATTCCTCTATAAGCGTGGATAAAGATGACACGGCTTCCATGAAACAGCTTTCCTCCATCCCTTCAATTTGTAGATAGTGATGAAGATGAGCCTACAAACAAAGGATAATGTTGACCATTTTCAGGAAACTTGATACAAATGTAACTATCCTAAGACATATTCTTTTTTTTTTTTTTTTATGTTTATTTTTGAGAGAGAGAGAGAGACAGAGAGATAGCATGGGCAGGGAGGGGCAGAGAGAGAGGGAGACACAGAATCCAAAGCAGGCTCCAGGCTCTGCTCTGTAAGCACTGAGCCCAATGTGGGGCTCAAACCCATGAACTGTGAGATCATGACCTGAGCCAAAGTCAGACACTTAACTGACTGGGCCACCCAGGTGCCCCGAAACACAGATATACTTTATTAAAATAATAGTTCACTCAATTTTACGAGAGAAATGAGCACTCAAATCCTATAAACTCAGGAGATTTCTCATTTAGGTAGTCTGAGTACAACGAATACAGTAGTCAGGAGTGCCCCTGATTTGTAACAGTATAACTCACAAGAATACATCTTAAATAGCCCAAATAAAAACACATAGTTACAAAAGTGAAAAGTGTACTGATAATTACCTTTTTCTTGTAGAGCCTCATGAATCGCTCTCTGAGTTCCATGAAGGTGGGCTTCACGCATGTGTTATTGGCTAGAGCTAATAATGAATGGGAATGCCCCACGGGAGGTACTGAACACAGGCTGGTTTTCCAGCCTTCTTGATTCCAGGAGATAAACTGTAGAGAAGGTTTTAATCTGAGATACAAAAACTCAAAGGTGAGAATGAAGGTAATGAAAACATCTGCCATATATGGCAATGGACATTACTAATGGTAATTACCATTCTAATTGCTTAATATATAACGTAAAGTTATCTACTTTTTACTATTTTTTTTTTTTCAACGCTTACTTATTTTTCGGACAGAGAGAGACAGAGCATGAACGGGGGAGGGGCAGAGAGAGAGGGAGACACAGAATCAGAAACAGGCTCCAGGCTCTGAGCCATCAGCCCAGAGCCTGACGCGGGGCTCGAACTCCCGGACCGCGAGATCGTGACCTGGCTGAAGTCGGACACTTAACCGACTGCGCCACCCAGGCGCCCCTACTTTTTACTATTAACAGTATCATGGTACAGTCTGACAGTGAACTAAGGGACATTTAGTTAGGAGGACATAAAATCTGGGGAAGGAAAAGAAATGAAAATATTGTAATTTTCTTTACTTTGTAATTCAATCGAGTAGTTTTCCTAAAAAACAGACGGTCAAAAAATAGTACAACATAAACTTAGAAGCAGCAAAGTGGTGGTGGTGGTAATAAAACAATAGTTAAATTTTCTGAACATTTTCAGAAAATAAGACATCTTAGAGCACCTGGGTGGCTCCGGCAGTTAAGCGTCCAACTTTGGCTGAGGTCATGATCACGCAATTTGTGAGTTGGAGCCCCGCATTGGGCTCTGCTGACAGCTCAGAGCCTAGAGCCTACTTTGCATTCTGTGTCTAGCCCTCTCTCTGCCCCTCCCCTGCTTGCGTGTGCGCGCGCGCTCTCTCAAAAATAAATAAACATTAAATAAAAAAAGAAAATAAAACATCTCCTGTATCACTCACTATTCACAAATAACAATTTTGTACTATTATTCTTGTTTTACATTTGAAAAAAGTAAGGCCAAGAGGGGCTAAGTAGTTTGCTCGAGGTCACGCTTTAGTTAAGTGGCAAATGCCAGAAATGGAAGACAGGCCATCTGAACTACCATGCTACATTGTCACAAGTGGTACACATAAATTATCAGGAAAATATAAAATCAAACCTTTCAATATTTCTGCGAAGATCTGAAACCTGTACATTTCCTCTAACCATAAGGGCACAGGCGAGGTAGAGGCTATGTTTGGGGTCAGCCCGAATTAGCTGGTGATCTTTACTAAAGGCATCTGAAAACATCTGATCCAACCTAGAACAATGAAAGAATCACTGTTTATACTAAATATTACTTCTATGTTTATACATACAAAATGCAGGGATCATCATCTACAGGTAAATACATACACAAATACATTCTAAATTTCAGCTATCATTTTCTCAAAGCAATCTTGATGAAAAATATGAAAAAAGAGGACATCTTTTATCCTTCATTTAAAGAGAGGAAGAAAAAGGTGCTAACAAGTTTATATCTAACAATTCACAGCATCCTAGGCCCTTCCTTAATATAGCCCCAGTCTGGTTCTCAAACCCCACTTGCCTCAATACAAATATGATTAGGTTCCTTAGATAACTCTAGCCAAGATTCTGTATGCGGAAACTGCAGAATGTCGGGGGGGTGCTGCAAAAATCGCACTGTGCTACCTACTCATTCAGCAGTTATTTACCAAATGCCTATTATGTGCCAGGCACTATTTAACGTGCAAGAGACCCAGCAGTGAACAACAACAAAAACTTCCTACTCTAATAGAGTTTACATTCTGTCTTGGTTACGTGACAGCAAGAACAGAAGTCTCCTTTAAGGAATGGTGAGTGCTATGGGGGATTCATAAATCTTTCACTACTGTGTTAGAAATTTTGGTGTGTTATGCGCTTCTGGGCATTTTTATGGAGTTAAGGAAACCCAGAAAAGGTTAAGAACCACCATACAGAAAACGAGCACACTTGTGATTTATTTTCTGACACAAAATATAAGAACTAGTAAGGAGTTTTTTGTAAGTTTGGGATACTTATCTTTATTTACATTAAAAATATGGGATTTCAAGAAACATGCACATACTTCTCCGATGTGCTTATTATTTTCATGTGGTATAAATGGGACTAGGTACAGAAATGATTTATTAATAAAAGGTACAACAAAAACCATTCTCATTTGTTTAGAAACTATTAATAAGAAATTAAAGAATTTTAAAACTGACTTTTAATAGTACAATTTTAAAACATTTTATTACTTTACTCAAGGATAAATGTGTTCATATGCTGATATGGCAGCCTATGAAATATATACAGTACAGCAGAAAAAAAGAACACAAGAGATAGAAAGAACATGTGACAAGCTCTTTAAGAGTCTAAAATCTTTAAAATCCCTTATACATTTTCACAAACACATTTTAATTAAAAATAATCCTTTGTAACAAATTATGATTATATGAATAAAAATTGTTGAAGTAGTGTTCTTTTTATCAAAATATGCCAAAAAGCAGGGTTAAAAAGAAATTTAATTGGCTT